ATCATCCTCTCCTAGGGTCCATTGATGTTTTTCTATACAATATGTAACTCATCCATGCTGTCTTCCCCTTCTACTATCTGACTTACTCCTATTTACCAGACTATCCCCAATTCTCCTCAGGTCTAGCATACCCAGCCCTCTTTTGCCTAATCATTGTATACCTGAAATAGAACTGCCCCTTCTTCAGCCCATCAAACCTTCTTGAAGCCTTCTTTCTCTTCTAGTGTTTCACAACACAGTCTCTACCTATGTTCTACTTCCTTAAGGGTTACTTCTTTGCCTATCTCTGCTGTTTAAAAACCCAAAGCTTTGATAGTTTCTTTTTCTTAACAAGGGGACTTACCCTTGGTATGCATTCGGGGTAAAGGGAGTATTTTTTAGTGAAATTAAATGATATAAAAGTTATTTCCAAATAGAAAATGTTACATAAATCTAAATGAGTTTTCAAGAATTCAGGATGCCCCAAATATCCAGACCAGTCTTATTCCACTGAATGCCTATCAAGCAGTTTGTTGGGCTGACCCCCAAGTATATCCCTAGCTATATCCCCAGGGTAGTATCATCTGACTTGTCACAGATTGACTTGAATTGTGCTGGCCATAACCCCTTTAGGTTATGAGATGTCATACAGTGTGTATTGTGAGCCTGTTTTCATGTGAGAGTTTAGGAAGTGGCACTCTGCCCAAGCAAGGAAACCTGTGGTTCTAGTTGCTAATGTCAGCCTTCCAAGGAAACCCAGCCTTGAGGTGACACTTATGGATAATTGTGTAGAGGGACAGAAAAGCCCAGTTTTTTAAATCACATCTCAAGTTTTCAACTAATATTCTTTTTACTGATAAATGGCTGTAATTGACATAGGGAAATTTTATTTCTTAGCAAAATATCAGATTTCTTGGTTTGAGGAGCAGACTTTGAAAATGAAGTTGGCTTTCCACACACTGTACAGGAGGATCACTTTATGACACAACCAACCTTAAATGGCAGGCAAACCATCTCAGTTGGTTGGGCTGTTTGTTTAATTATAATTGGTGAAGGGACTGAATTTATCCAGTTGTGCCTTTATTGATTATCTTTCCCTTCCCCTCAGGATTGTAGCTGCTATTCCAAGCACCTACAGATCAAAAATCCTAGTTTGTTTTACAGTTAACATAGTCCAGCACTGTGCTTTAAAACACACAGGGATAATCTTCAAATATTAATCAGAACAAGATGCTGACCTGTAAACAACCACTGCACCTTGAAAACACTGCCTTTTAAATGTGTCAAAATGCTTAAACAATTTTAGAACTTTAAGGGATCTTGGCAATTAGTTAATCCACTATTATTATGAGAATTAACCTTTTAAATTATTTACTCATGTTTCAAAAGACAGGGAACAGTCCGAAAGCCCTTGGTGGGGATGAGTATGCAGTAAAATGGGAAACTGACAAGTTACAGATGGGTCCCAGTAGTATTGGCCCAGTGTGATTATGGTGGTGATACCCCCACTGTGAACATAGTACCAGGCTACATAATTTTCATTAGCTCAGATTTTAGCTTACCATGTCCCTAAGGTTCATGAGGTATAAACATAAAAATTAAGTCCATGAGTAGTGGTAGTATCTTAATCAATATTAATTCCTCCTAGAATACTTTTCTAGGCCAGTGTGCCAAGAAAGAATAAATAAAAGAATACTTACTACAAAGTCATCTGGCCTTTCATATCTACATGGAGTAGTCCCTGTGACACTGTAACTTTTCTATCCCACAGCCCTAGGGCAGGTATCACTTTGTAGACTGAAGGGAATTAATGCTTAAGCAGAATTTGGTCTTGCTTGAGTACATATCTTTTATCCAGAATCTTAAGGCTCTTGATCATTTGGCCTCAGTCCATTTTTCCAGTCTTAAATTTACCTACAGATTATCCATTCTTAAAGAGGTTATTCTCTTGATCATTGTATAGATTATTTTACTTAAGGCAATTGTGTATATGTGTCGTCCTGCTTAAAGCTAAGAACTTTTCAGCCATTGTATTTTTTTCACTTTCAGAATGTATCACATTCATAGTGTGTATAGAATTATACCTATTAGACCTAAGGCTGATCAGTAGGAAATAGGATTGTCACAGAGAACAAATCCATGGAGTTATAGGTATTTTTTCTAGCCTTCATTACAGTCCAGGCTTCATGTCCAATTCCAGCATTCATTTTCAAATCATCCTTTTTACTGAGCTATCTTCGGGATGTACCAAGGTCCTGAAGCTTCCCTCCAGCAAGTGACAATTTGATGAAGCTCAGAGACAGCAGGAGCTCCAGTCTACTCTGCGGCTTTGAGATTAGAAAGCTGGAAATGAGACCAGAGGGTGGTCATGTAGCCCAAGGGATGTGAGGGTCTGAAGCCCAGAAAATTATATGTGATTTGCTGGAGTTGTTTAGACTTCTAGAACTTAAATTCATACCTTGGACACTGCCTAGTTAAATACTCTCTGTATTGTACTTTGTTGTCTCTGCTCATAGCCTTGTTGGGGAGAAGCTGACAAATAAAGTCTGGAAAGTGCACTTTGTGAATGTAGCAGCAAAAGAAAACACTCCTAATGAGGTGTCTAAAGAGAGCTCCTATGTTCCCTTTATTCAAACTGAACATTAGTGTGATTCTACCCTTTCACCCTTTGCACAGGTGCTTTCAGAAGGGCAGCACTTAACCTTTCAGATCCAAGGAATCTCCAGAAAATGCACAGATCCTTCAAGTCAAACTTATTTTCCTTTGCTCATGTAGCTCAACATCAGTGTGTTATTAATTTGCCAGAGTCTTAAGCGTTATTAAACACATCCTCCCAAAAGTAGAAAGGGGAAGGAAAAAAAGAAGAATGAGAGAGGAACACATTTCTGTCATCCCTATAAGAGAGCTTCACCCTATGTTCTAAGCCTAGGGTGAGAGGCATGGGCTGTGAAGTGGGACCAGGTAATGGGCACTAAATGAAGGTAGGCAGAACATTGGAAGTTTTCCTGATAAGGCATTCATTCCTTGTGACTCTTCGAAATGGGTTTTAAATCTTTTTTTTTTTTAATTTGAATTTTCAAAATACATGGCTTTCACAACCTATATCTAAACCTCAAGTAACACCTGTCTAGTTGTGAAAAGCTTGTATACATCCTACTGGGATGGTGTGGCATACTGATTATCTTAAACCTAGGTCTTTGTCAAGGTGTTTTGACCTAATTGGCTTTTTGATCAATAGCTATAACTTTTAGGCACTATAACTTTTAGATAAGTAACGGCAGGTTCCTGTTTGGCAGGGAAAGTAGGTAAGGTCCACATATTACCATTCTCAACAACTTTGATAGCGGATTATAAAGAATGCCACTACATTATTTAAATTTTATGTATGGTATGTGATTATATGTTTGTGTGTATTTATATACACACAGATATAATATATGTAGCCTATATAATTAGATGTTATTATTTAAATCTGTTTAAAAGATAACAGTTTTGCTGGGTGTGGTGGCAACATGCCTGTAATCTCAGCAGCTCAGGAGGCTGAGGCAGGAGGATCACAAGTTCAAAGCCAGCCTCAGTGAGGCACTGAGCAACTGAGAGGGACCCTTTCTCTAGATAAAATACAAAATAAGACTGGATGTGTCTCTCACTCACCCCTGAGTTCAATCCCCATTACCTAAAAAAAAAGATAACAATTTTCAAGTTCAAGTCAAAGTTATATAAATGTGGGATTTATAACTTAGGAGTAAATAAAATTATGCAAACAATAGACCAAAGGCTAGAGAAGAAATTCTAAGGTTCTTATACACAAAGGAGTATAATGTCCCTTGAAGATTGATAAAGATATACATGGTAAGCCTTATTTAATTATAGTTAATACAAAACACTTTTTAGATATTCAATTCTATTCCCCCAAAATCTGTTTGAAGTCTTCACCTCTGATACCTGTGACAGTGGAAATAGAACCTCTGCAGATGTAATCAATTTAGAATGAAGTTATTAGAATGGGCTCTAATTCAGTATGAGTGATATCCTTATTAGTTGAGAACAGACAGACACATAGGAAGAAGATGGTTTATAGGTATACTCCAATCTCTGCCTCCATTGTCACACAACCAAGGATTACTGATGAAAAATATTAAAAACTAGAATAGGCAAAGTAGGATTCTCCCCTTTAGGTTTTAGAGAAGACATGGCCCTCATGATTTCGGATGACTGGCCTACAATTTCTATTGTTTTGCCAAGATAGACCATATTCTCAGACATACAAATATCAGTATATTCAAAAGTGAATACGGTATAGTGAGAGAAATGGTATTCTATACACTTCATTCCTATGAAGCTATCCGAAAAGAATAAGAAACTACTGAAACTGGCTAAAATAACCTTATCAAAAAAGCTCTGGAAAAAGATCAAAGGTCTCTAGTAATCAAGCAAGTTCTCAGTGAAGAAGTCACATTCAGAAGGTAGGAAAGATTTTTTCCCCCTTTTCACTTGCATCTTTCCCTTACTTTCCTGGCATGGATTAAATCTTGGTGGCATTCCAGTTCTCAATTCCTTACCTCAAGCCAGACTGAGCCAAAAAGGTCTGATTTGAAACATTCTAACCTGCCTATCTCATGTAACCTGTAGAAAGGAGAAAGTGGCAGCCACTGTTGGTGAAAGTTGCAGTGGTACTATATAACAGATGCTTAGGTCAAGAGATTGTGGATGAAGATGCTAGAGAGAAACTAGGTTGAGACTGGAAAGTTAAGATATAGAAAGTACTATTTATGAA